AAGATAAATTAACCTATCCGGACGTTGTCCATTGGATGGTTGTTTAATTGTCAGCTTTCACCAATGTGAAACATTCATTATTTAATACAGATTTTATTCTTTAAGTAATGTGTGAAATACTATTGATTTATTTTATTGAGTAACTGTTAAACTACTTTCGATTAAACATTGTTGAACTTCGTAAACTACAATATTTTATTTAAGTCGAATAGGTTATTTATTTATTTGAACACATAAATATTGGTAAAAGGGGGCACCAAATACATATGCGCCACACTGACCTCATTTGATATGTGTGAGGGCTGTGATACTGCCTGGGTGCCTAGACCGAAGCAGGTGGTTTACTTAGGGGGACACACCAATAGCCTTCGACCTAAAAGTCTAGTCCATAAGGCAGTGGAGCAACGTAAGGAGATGAAGTATCATGGTAGCCAGAGATCAATAATTGGTTCATACGTCATTTGTTTCTTCAGGATACTGGAGCCCATGTACACCATTGGTTTGGAATCACGGTTTTCAAACTCCTCAATGTGAATTCTGCATACCCGCCAACCAGGTTAAAGCGCCAGACATTCGCTTTTCGTCCTCTCAATTTCGTAAACAACAGTAATTCCGCGAGAATGCAGTGAGTAGAACTTCTCTGGTAGATGCTATATATGCGTGACCATGTGAGAGCATTTCGAGAGGGAGAGCTGACTCTCCCCATTGTCAGTCGTACCAGAGCATTTGAGTGCTAAGTCAAACAGAGGTGAATTCATTCCTTCCATAGAATCTCTATTTAGCTTCTTACGCCCTAGAATTAATTGTATAATTTGTTTAAACACAAAACTATGTACACACTTTAAATCGTAATGTCAGAAACGTTCTCATCAATGAAAATTGATCTTCACATGATTGAATATTTCGATGTTAAATAACGTGAATATCCTAGAAGAAAATTGCATAAACAGATGGAGATATACTACCGAAAAACTGTTAGTAAAGTTACGTGGACTCCAGAGTGACGTTCAAAATCATTTTAAATTATAAATAAGCAAACAAATTCAAAAATATCGCATTTTTTTTCAAAGCCATTACTATCAAAAGTCTTAAAACAGATTTTTATATAGTCAAAAGGATATTTAATAGTTGAATTCATGAGTCGATTAAAGCTAGATTACCATAGATAACCCGGAAGCACTGTAAGGCCGTGTTGTCATAATATGGGACTTCACAATAGTGTATATCCAGGACCGCGCTAGCGAGATTTGAACTTAAGACCTTCGGTCTTGCATACGAACGCTTGAACACAAGACCATTGATCTAGCATCCAACAGTGTTAATGTCTAATTTCAATCAATCCACGAAATTGCGTCACCGCCCACCATTGTCTTCAGTGAATTACTATTTCACAACAGACCCGGTTGAACTCCACTGGTCACAGCTTCTCACTAGAACTCCACGAAATACCGTTTAAAGCTAGTCACTAGTGAGCAGATAATGATTATTATCAGAAAGGGAAGACATCATGAAGAGCAAGAACGCTGATTTAGGCAGAATGATATAATGAACGAATGAAGGCAATTCAGCGAAGAAAGTTTCCTTTTCAATGATTCCATTTACTTGAACTGTACAACTGTATTTATAGTTAATTTTATTCATTAAAGTAGTAGTATGTAGCAAAATAAAATGAGATTGAATAATTAAGATAGCTTGAAGTGATATCTTGTCATGAATTATTTACGACAATCAGATATTGAAAAGGAGTTATGTAATAATTATAGAAGATAGAAATAAAGGTTAAGGCCATGCAAAAATGATGGACTGAACACACTGTCTTTTATACTCAAAGGTTAGGCCTGAACTGGTGAACAGCAATAGCTTCTGCTATATATAAGTTTTCCATATGGATTCTTCTTGAGCAGACTGTTCGGACTATATGTGTAATTTGGGAAAAGGCTTCTAGTGAAGTAGAGTGGTCAGAATTAACTAAATGCTGCAAGATTGAACTTTTGACTGACTTCTGTAATCCATTAGCAAGTCGGACATTCATTCATTTGATTTCATTAGGTTTACATCAACTGCTTACAACCTGGCTGCTTTGATAACTGTACAACACAAAGGAAGTTAATACAGAAATATTTTAGTAAGAGTAGGTACAAAGAACAGAGTAAGACCATTGCTTCATGGTCCAGTCAATCGTGTGCAATTAACTGTTACGTGTTTATTGTCCTCGACGAGTTTCGGTGAACTGTTCAACATTCAGTGATCCGACTGTCGGATTGTTTGGCTAGGGATCAGTGACATTTCACGTTCCCTATGCTATTTTTTGAAGATCGACATAAAATGGAATAATTCTTTTAATATTCGCATTTTCTCCAAACTTCGAACTTTGGTAATTTACCTAGCACTGTCAATCATAATTGATGGGTGTAAGTTGATCAGTTCTATAATATTGTTTCCTGAAGTGTTTACTGATGCATCTAAATCGATAAGATGCCTTCAGTATACGATACAAGGTATTTTTAGAGGCCTACCTTCCAGGACAGTAATGTTATTATCCACGTTAACCAAATGTGGGAGATAACAGTGAGCTGCAACGTCACATTACATCCCTTGGTGGATTTCGAGAGTATCGGATACATGAAGATAATGGTCTTCAGTAATTTTTCTTCGCTAATACAAATCAAATCAGTTTGACTACTCATTTCTTCAATGGAGTTGATTTTGATAGAATATGCCAAACCAACAACAAAATTCTATTTTTCTTTCAAATTGTGACGTTGGATAAGAACCTAATGCAATTAGTTCTATCACATTCATTCTCCATGTGACTCCAGAATTACCCTCTCCATTCCCATCATTATTCAAGCGTTCAACTAATAACTGAAATCTGCTCTGAATTCTCACACAACATTCACCAATGATAGCTTCTGCATTAATGTAAATTCATTTGAAATCGCATCATGTTTTATGCTGATTACGTGTAGTTGGGAATGTCATGAAAAGTTTATGTTACGTTTTGTGTAATCTCCAACTGTGAATAGAATTACGTGTGTTAAAATCTGGAGAAAACATTCATTTGTTCTTGTGTGTGACGTTAAATAAAAAGGTGGACAGGTAAATAGAAAAATGTTCACACTTGGTGAATGTGCGTTCTAGCTTATCGGTCAATGATCAAAGTTTGAGATATGTATACAAAACGAGTTATTACCGAGCAAGCGAAAATGTTTAAGTGGACTTCAGACGACCGCTTACTTTTGTAAAAACAACACCAATTTCAGGGAGGCGACAAATGCAGTGTTGAAGCGTCATCGATTGACGTAAAACATTTTCGCACTTCAATTTATTATGAAGAAAAATTCACTATAAAAGCATTTGGTCATCGAAAACCTTGATATCCTAGTCAATGAATGTATTTAGGCTGGGAAGTAAGAGACAGGTTAAAACGTTTTTTAATACCAATGTATTGTTACTTGATTTAACATTATTACTCATTTATTAAATAAATGTCATTTTACATTTGATGTGCAGTTTCTGTATTTTTGAAGAGAGTACAGTCGGTACATCATTCATACCACAGGCATGCGAATATTACAGGTTGTAAGCAGTTGATGTGAGTTCAAAGAAATAGAATGAACGAATGACGCAGGGTATTATGGAATGATGGTAAATAAGTTGATGAGGTTGTGAATTTATATCGACTCAGATGGTTGTGCCACGTGTTACCTATGCCTTAACACTGATTATCACAATGCACAATCCTGACTAGTGTTGGAGATGATTGGAAGGAAGCTACGGGTGATCAAACCAAAATGTAGCATCAATACTTGAAGCCACTAACTTCTACTCTTAGCCATGTTGGCAGATCCAGACTACTTGTTTGGGGTCCATGTGACTATCGTAACCAATCGATGGAGACTGTGTGACTTGGCTCAGAATTGATCACAATGGCGTCGGTGTATACACTCTCTATCTTCCCTCAAACCGTGAGATTAAAATTGCTTTACATCTTTCTTTCTACCAACTAATTCTTTCTTCCTATACTATGTCCCTATACGCAATCTTTCGTTTATATATTGCTGCGATTGAATTAACTATTTATATGAATCCGGTGTTCATGTTGTTGTGCTAATAAGGTGTGGTAACTTGGACTAATGCACCTATATGCCTGGTCCTACGTTGTAACTGATAAAGGAGGAGGGTTGGTCATGGTCTCGTAGAAATCTAACTCGCTTAAATCGCTGACCAGAAAAAATTATTCTAATCATTTAAAATCTGCTCTGGGAGTTAGAAGTTCTTCATTTAGAAGTGTTATAATGCCTCATGGTGAAAGTCGAGTTCCTTCGGAATTCACAAGTCTGATGCCGCTTTTAACAACTAGAGAAACCATTAATTTAAATACATAGAATGCTCGTACAATGTGGGAGACTGGAAGAGTCATCCAAATTGCTGCATATTTCGACAACAATCAAACATACGATATAACTGAAGTCAGATCCTAGATTATTAAATCCCATTATTCAACCCATAAAACAAGCGAATCAATTATTCTAAAATCAATAAATCGATTTATACATATATTTATCACATTTATAAAGTCATTTCATTATGACTTGGTAACTAAAATGTTAAAGTAATTTTTTTTTAAAAGAAAATGTTTTAACTATTAATTTAAGAAAGAAAATTATGTAAACTTTAAGACTAAAATTACAGTAAAAAATATCAAGTTGAAAAAACAAATAAATAAACGTCATGGTGTTTGTTTTTGCACTTTCATTGTTAACAACAACAACAACACCAAAAAAAAACTATACAATGGGTTTCTAGACTGAATTTTTGTATTTCTATAAGAAACTTAAAAGATTTGATATGAGTAGACAATTCGTTTCTATTGGGTATAGGAATATAAAAAAAAAGAAAGGGATACTTTTTTACGGGAGGGGGGAGGTATGTTTAGGTTAAAAGAATAATAGTAATAGTAAACTTTGTTGTTGTTTATGTATTAACTATTAAAATAATTAAAAATGTTTAGGAAATTTTAATGAATTAGGACTTAATGTACGTCTTAATGGTTTATGTGTTGTATTTGATGAACCATGATAATTAATCCAACATTTAGGACAGAAATAATCGAAACATTTTAAATGACGACAAAAATAAATTCCAGGTGCTGAGTAACATTTGGAACAGATAGCATCTTCTAAATATGGATCAATTTGTATCTAAAAAAAAAGGGGAGGAAGAGTAAACAGAAAGATATATGTCGTATATAAAGAATATATGGTAAGTGCTTTGTGGTATAGACAAAAAGTCATTTATCATTACGTTTGGAAGATGATCACACAAATGCCCTGGTACGGTTGACAGTGGGGATAGTCAGCTCTCTATCTCGAAATGTTCTCATATGACCACATGAATACGACCACTGCCAGGGAAGTCCTATTCACTACATTCTCATGGTGGACCTGTTAACTACGAAACCAAGAGGACAAAAAGCGAATGTCCGGCGCTTTAATCGGGTTTTGTGGACACGGGGAGTACGCCTAGGGGAGTTGGAAAACCGTGATTCCAAACCAATAGTGTACATGGGCTCCAGGATCCTGAGTGAACAAATGGCGTATGAACCAATAGTTGGTCACCGGCTACCATGGGACTGCATTTCCCTACGTTGCTCCACTACCTTATGGATTAAACCTCTAGATCGAACGCTCGAGGTGTTGCCTCCTGAGGGAACCACCCACTTCAGTTTGGACACATGGGCAGTATCCCAGCCCCCACACAAATCGAATGATTTATGTGGCGCATATCTATTTGGTGCCTCCTTGTATCAATGTTTATGTGTTTAACTAAGTAAATCAGATGACCATAAGCTGATTGAATTCCAAGTGTGTATAACAAGGAGGGAGGGAGAGAGAGAGGTTAATTCAACTACTATCACACAAACTCTACCCTCCACGAGTTGTACATATTTCAGATTGTATATATATTTTTCAAGCTTTCCGTGTTTTCACAAATGATTTCTACGTCCCTGATACAGCTATTATTTCACCTTATTTACCGCTCAATTTGTGCCGATATCATGCGTAGCATGAGTAATTACATATCTCTGTCAGACTTCTGAAAACAAAGTTTATCTAAACTGTTTCACTAAAAACTATTTTGTGTAGATACATTTACACTACAAACAAATAGACGAATATATACAGGGTATACAGTAAAAGAAAACTATAGTAAAAACTTACCACCTTACTGAACAACTGACATTCAATACAAATAAAATTTGTTGTTATAGCAGCCAAATAACCTTGTGGTGAATTAAAAGCTACACGTCCTGATCCTATATAGGCATGAAAAAGTAAAACCATAAAGGAAAGAGCTTCATTAAGTAAGGAGTTGTGACTATGTGGATATTAGGTGTTGAGATGTTAATCGATTTCATATGCTAAATTTGCCAGTCGGAGTTTCGAATTATAACTATTTTTACCCTGTCTGCTATTTTAGCTGAAGCCTGAAGTCATTAACCTTTAGGAACGATGCGTTTTACCCGATACAACTAACTACAAATCTTTCTCTATCACTGGCCTGAAATTCAGGGTAAAGTTGGCAGCCAAGCCTCTTTTATTATTGCATTTCTATCTCCGAACTGAGACAACACAACGTATCTAACGGACACCTCAACACACTCATTTGCCTAGATAGAAAATTTATCAAACCGTACAGGACAACAACAATCATGCCATAATTGACAGAGAGCGATGTAAACGGCACATAATTAATTAGAAACAATTATGACATAATAAAATATCGGACGGCCATAAATAAGTCCACTGGGAGCTTTAAATTAGGAAAATTCAGAATTATTGCTTCTTTCAAAGCCAGAACTCATGAACACTGATTTGAAATGTATTAAACATTTAAGCTACTTACAAAGTGTATTAGTAACATATTCATAAATTGATAACTTACCTATCGGATAGTGATATTTATCTGTATCCAACGCAGCGTAACTAACATTACCAAAGAGGTCATTGAAAATAGTAAATAAAGCTCGTGCTGTAATCATTCCATGAAGTGCGCCAACGAATATGGAGTAAACTTTTGTTCGGGTTTCAATTTCCGTTCTTCCTTCTTCAGATTGAAAATTTATGTTTTCACTGTTTCTGTGCCAAGTCAAAGATGATATTTAAATCAATTACCAAGTTGATATAAACAAGTTTCATATGAGTCAAGCTTAAGAAAGCTTTTAAGTACAGTTATAAAATAGAATAAGACTAGTAACCAAAGTTGATGAATAACACATAAACATTAGTGTAGCAATTAGCTAAAAGTTGTTTATTTCATATCAATACAAAGGCCATGTTGGCTAAAAGCCACTGAAATCGAGTTTAAGTTCAATAAGGATATGAGACATACATTTTGGTTAGTAAAGAATACTGTATGTCACATTGTGATGAATGATCTTAAACCTGATACAACCGAATACATATAAACTTCTTGACAAGTAAATGTATGATCACATTATTTGAAATATATTGCTGAAATATATCATTTCACATTTTTATTACGTTTTCGAAATTTCAGCTTTATTCACGAACGCGATGTGTCGAGAATCGGAGGCAAAAATCAAGAGGTTAAACAGTAACTGAAAAAGATTGGCCAGGACAGAGTTCAGTGGAGAATGCTGGTGGGCGTCCTATATTCCTCCATGAGGGGTAACAGGTGTAAGTAAGTAAGGAAAATAGTTTTCTTATATTTACATAGACTTTGAAGATGATCTGGCTCTTCTATTGCACACGCAACAACAAATTCAAGAGAAGAAGACCAGTAGAGCAGAAACCTAGGCAGCAGTAGGTCTCAACATGCACATGTACCAATCAAATCACACTTGAAGAAGACTTGGAAGATGTAAAAACCTTTACATATCTGGGCAGCATCATTAATGAACACGGTGGATCTGATACAGATGTGAAGGCGTGGATCGGCAAAACAAGAGTAACATATCTACAACCGAAGAACATATAGAACTCACAACAACTGTCTGTCAACCAACACCAAGGTTAGAATTTTCAATACAAATGTCAAGACAGTTCTACTGTATGGGACAGAAACTTGAAGAACTACGAAAGCCATCACCCACAAGATAAAAGTGTTTATTAACAGTTGTCTACACAAAACTCTTCGGATCCGTTGATCAGACACTATTAGCAACAACCTACTATGGGAGAGAACAAACCAGATTCCAATGGAGGAAGAAATTAGGAAGAAGCGCTGGAAGTGGATAGGACACATACTGAGTAAGGCATCGAACTGTGTCACAAGTCAAACCCTCACATGGAATCCTCAAGGCCAAATGAGAAGAGGAAGAACAAAGAACATATTACGCCGAGAAACGGAGACAGACATGGGAGGAATGAACCACAACTGGATAGAACTAGAAAGGAAGGAAGAGTGGGACATAGTGGGTTTGTGAATGCTGGTGGGCGGCCTATGCTCTAATGGGCGTAACAGGAGTAAGTAAGTAAGCACATAAATTTAAAAAATACTAGTCACAATAACAAATAATGTTAAATTACATAAACTCACCGATTACAGATAAATGGATAAAATGAATCTTGTTTATCCCATGGAATAATTTGTAAAGAATCGAATCGAGTTTTTTCTAAGTCAGGATATAATGTTGAAAGATTGATATAGAAACCTTTGGTACGACGATAACACATTGATAATAACAATGTTACACTTCTTTGATCATTGAACACTGCATAACAATAACCTAAATTAAAATGACATTTGAATGAAATAAGGTTTTTTGTTAATTATTCATAGATAATATACATACATGATACATGTGTATAGTTTACTGAGGGTTAAGCTGTAACTGAGACTTGTATTCCTACAATTGAAGAACATATGGAACTCAAAACAACTTTCAACCAATATCAAAGTCAGAATCTTCAACACAAACATCAACACAGTTCTACTATACGGAGCTGAAACTTGGAGAACTAATACAACCATCACCAAGAAGGTACAAGTATTTATATATAGTTGTCTATGTAAGATACTCAACATCCATTGACCGGATACCATCAAGAACAGCTTTCTGTAGGAGAGAATAAACCAGCTTTCAGCTGGAGAGGAAATTGGGGAAAGTCGATGGAAATGGATAGGACATACATTACGCAAATCACCAAACTGAATCACGATGCAAACCCTAACTCGGAATCGTGAAGGGAAGCGGGAAAGAGGAAGGCCAAAGAACACATTAAGTCGGGAAATAGAATCAGATATGAAAAAGATGAATGAGAACTGAAAGAGCTGGAAAGTATTGCCCAGGACAGAGTTGGATGAAGAGTGATGATGAACAGCCTATACTTCACCACGAGGGGTAAAAGATGTACGAGGAGATTAATTTTAGGGATATACTGAAAATCTAGTTTGGAGTTCTGTAATTTTCTTTATTACTTTCGAATGTTAAAACTAAGTGACAGGACTGGAATAAAAATACATTGTTTACACTTATTCAAAAATCAAGTCCTAAAATCGATGATATCATGAATGAATGTAATAACAGAAGTTTTTATTAACAAATTTCCTAGAAGACACTAAACATTTGGTTACGAGTTTTTCAGATACAGTAAATATTCATAATAGGGCCTTCCAGAATTATAGCCGGTGATACATGTTATCTTATCTATATCAGGATGTGAACATTAAAGAGGGGGAAGTTTTGAATGACATATAAACAATGTATCATCAAGTGGAGTAATGGAATTTTGCATTGGATAGATGAATTACATTTCAATAAGTTAGAATAAATGATCAAAAATATCCAAATTTTCTGCTGTAACAATTACTGTGACTGACGCCACTTTATGAATGAAAATCAGTCAAAATCACTTAGTGTTTTATGAAATATTCGATAACAGCATCGATAATTACAATACTTTCAAATGTCCTAAATGTGAAGTACTCCGAGTAATATTAGTTCCTGTCGGAAATCAGATGTGTCTTTCTCTATGAATCCACGACAAACTGTAATTTTGTTTATAATTTTCATCAATTGCCCTAGAATATTTAATTTTTATTTGTGAAACAGATATGAAGCCAAGCTAATGGTTACACTATTTCACATTAAACGTACTTCATTACCTGACCTAATTTACAAATAACGTTAATTAGAGAGGGGTCTTGCGGATATTATAGTAATTTAATAGTTGAATTCATGAGTCAATTGAAGCTAGACTACCATGGAAAATCTGGGAGCATTGTAAGGCCATTTCGTTTTAGTATAAGACCCCTCATCAGTGCACATCCACGATCCCGCCTCGCGAGATTCCCTGGAGTTCTAGTGAGAAGCTGTGACCAGTGGAGTTCAACCGGATCTGTTGTAAGATAGTAACTCACTGAAGACAATAGTGGACGGTGGAGCAATTTCGTAGATTGGTTGAAGCCAGACATTAACAGCGTTGGATGCCGGCTTAGTGGTCATGTGGTTAAGTGTTCCCATGCAAGACCAAAATTCTTGGGCCCGAATCCCGTGAGCGGGATCGTGGATGCACACTCCTGAGGGGTCGAATACCAAGACGAAACGGCCTTACATTGCTTCTAGGTTTTCCATGATGGTCTAGCGTTAATCGACACATGAATTCAACTATTAAATAACTTTAAATCAGATACTACGTATGAATTACCTCGTTTCAAACCGGTTCTCAATAATGATTCACATAATGCTTGGTTATAATTATTTCCGTCTATGACAGATGGTATCATAATGGTACCTTTCGGCCATATTAAACTAAGTGGGCCGAAAATAGATAATCCCTTATGTAACTGATCTCTTGTCCATGTAGTCACTTGGTTTCCACGCATTGGCACACCACCTACAAATACTTTACATGATAATCTATTCATAAATGACGAATTTAAATGATGATTAACATTTGGTAGGCAATTAATTGGTTGACTTGGTAATTGATTGAAGTAAATTGATTTGGAACTAGTTAACTGCACCTCCAAATGGTAAGTTATAGGTGGATGAAATGAAGCTACGAATGTTTCAGTATTGTATGGACAATCATAAGAGATATCATTTTTTGAACGAAATTTTGTAGGACTATTGAAATTGATTGAATTCAACTTGTTTGGGCTTTCACATGAATGACATGCTAAAAAAATAATAATAAAAGATAATCCTAGAATTATTCACTAGTTTCGAAAAAAAATTCTATGCTCAATTAGGAGTACTGAAGGTAAATTAAAGGAATTTGATCGCAACATGACTATCACTGTTATGGTTTAATTCCAGCTTATTCAAATAACTGAGTAATAAAGTTCAGATTGGGGTACTCTAGTATAAGTCATAACTTTCTGTGGGGATTAACAATATTACTTCTCTGATGAGTGGAACTAAGCGAAGACCATTTTAAACCTAAGACTTGACCATTAAGAGCTGCAACCACTAAGCTCTGATTCTCTTAAGAGGCTAGGGAGGGTTTGATGATTAGTTCATCGTTGTTTATTGCTGTTCAGTTACATGAACCCACAACTCTACAAGGAATTAAACCTAAGATTGTCAAGTTTTATAGCAACCATGATATCGTTCAATCAGTGAGTCTGAGTTGAAAAATTAACGAAAGGAGAATCGTGTCTAATCAAATATATCAAAAAATAAATATGAACTATTCGATAGCCGTTGTTAGATATGACAGTCAAACATTCGAGAGAATACCAGAACACCGAACAAGTTAGGTATTGATCGAAGTGATAACCGTTAACCAATAATAGGTTTGTGCTCAATGCTACGAATAACTTCCACCGTCTACAGACAATGGATGTACATTCTTTTACAGATTAGAGTAATCGGGTTTGCATTTGAAATAACAAAATGACATTTGAGAATCAACAATTAGGGCCATTCTACAAAATCTTATTTGATAATGACATGTAATATGGGGGCTGAACTTTTTCACCTTCCACAAATGTTAGTACACTATCGAATGAATGGTTATGGTTTCTTAATGTTCAAGCGGTATCAAGTGGAACAGGATTCGCACTCGCGTCTTAATAGTCGAGAACCTAACGGTTTAACCAATAAACCATTGTCAAAATCTATAAGTCTTATAAACATTCATTTTTACTATTGCCAAAAGCAATTTTCATATTTTGTGCGGGTTCTCTTCAAGATTTTTGACATGTTTCACTCTATTTCTTTTTGACCATAAATAATTTGTGGCTCTATTGGTTATGTGAACTTTTGACAAAATATACATAAACAAAAATAGATAATGGCTAGCAGTGGGAGGTTATATGAAAGCAATCCGCACAGGTTGCACATATGCCAACAAGAGACTGATCAGTTGCAGTTCTAAATAACAATGGGAAGATACAAGTAAAAAAAAACAACACCAAGTGAATTTGTGCATAAACAGATTCATAAATACTGGTCACAAAGTAAATGAAAGATATTGAAAAAATGAAATTATATTTGTGAAAGTCCCAGAGTTTAGGATAAATAGTTTCAATATTTTATTGAAGAATTTGATTCTAGCTTCTACCTAGACAATCTTTAATTGACCTCATATTTTTTCTGTAGCTCTAAACATTTTCAATGTTTAATTCAATGCCCCCAAATGCACTGGTACGGCCGAGAGTGGGACGAGTCAACTCTCTCTTTCTCCAAATGATCTCACATGGTAACGAGCATACAACCACTGTCAGGGAAGTCTTACTCACTGCATTCTCGTAGCATTACTGTTGTTTACGAAATTGAGAGGATGAAAAGCGAATGTCCGGCGCTTTAACCTGATTGGTGGACATGAAACGTTCACCTAAAGAAGTTGGAAAACCGTGATTTCAAACCAATGGTGTACATGGGCTACAGAACTCTGAAGAACCAAGTGGCGTATGGACCAATTATTGATCACTGGCTACCATGATACTTCATCTCCTTACGTTTTTTCACTGCCTTATGGATTAAACCTTTAGGTCGAAGGCTGTTGGTGTGTCCCCCCAAAGTAAACCACCTGCTTCGGTTTGAGCACCCGGGCAGTATCCTAGCTCTCACACAAATGGATTGATTTATGTGGCATATATCTATTTGTTGCTTCCTTGTACCAGTTTTTATGTGTTTAAATAAATAAAATAAATTTCAATACCAGTCAGTATCATACGTTCGGTTATGTGGTAAGTGGGAATGTGTAATACCCATCCTAACCATTTGAGTTAAATAAGAGTTACAGTTACAACAGTAGATATTACAATTTTTCACATAAAACCCCAGCATCTAACCTTATCATTGTTCACTTCAATAATGATTTGATAATACCCTGAGATGAAATACTTGAAATGTCAACATCATTGATTATTTCTTTCATTCAATAAGAAAATATTTACATACCAGCTGATATTCTATAGGCTAATGCTTCCAGTTCTATTTTCCCATATCTTTTCAATATTTGTTCATAATAACTAGCTAATTGTAGAACATCATTTTGATAATCAATTAATGAAGAATAATCATTAAGGTTAAATTGATAATCTTTTATGAATTGATTATTATTATTATTATCAGTAGGATGAACATGATTTTGTTTATTTGTTTCAATGAAATATTCATTATTGACATTTTCTAATAGTGTCATTATCTGAAGAAGAAGAAGAAGAAAAAAGAAAAGGAAGAATAACTTAAGGGAACAATTTCATCCTTTAAATGAGAACCTTATGGAATATAGAAATGAAATGCCAATTCAAGTTTGTAGAAATCACTTGTCAGTCAGTTACAATGTAGCACCAGGCATACAGGTGCATCGGTCCAAGCTGCCATACCTCATTCGCATAACAACATGAACACCAAATTCATAGAAGTAGTTAATTCAATGGTAGTAATATATAAAAGAAAGATTACATATAAGAATATAGTACAGAAAGAAAGAATTAGTTGGTAGAAAGAATATATGAAGTGATTTTAATCTCATAGTGTAAGGGAAGACAAAGAGTGTATACAGATACGCCATTGTGACCGATTCTGAGCCATGTCACCCAGAGTTTCTAAACATTGATTACGATAGTAATGCGGACCCCAACCAAGTAGCCTGCATCTACCAACATGTCTAAGACTAGAAGTTAGTGACTTCAAAGACTAATACCACGTTTTAATTTGGCCACTACTAACCACTTGACACTTTATACTTGATTGTTAAACCCTTCATACAGAGTGCTGGGTATAAAATTTATAAATTCCATAATTTGTTATCAGAACGGATTTTGTAGAGATTGTAGTAATTTCAATAGTTCAGATCATGAGTCAATTGAAGTTAGTCATCGGCTTCAAGATGTATATCCTGGAGTTCTAGTGAGAAGCAGTGACCAATCGAGTTCAATTGGGTTTGTTGTGAGATATCATCTCACTGATAACAATGGTGGATGTATCGCTCAATTTCGTGGATTAGTTGAAGTTAGACATTAACACCGTTGGATGCCGGCCGGTTCAGTGGTTTATAGGTGAAGCGTTGGTGTGCGAGACTTATAAATCCTGGGTTCGAACCTCTTGAGGCGGGATGGTGGATGCGCATTGCTGAGGAGTTCCAGAATGGGACGAAACGACCGTCCAATTCTTCCAGGCATTCTGTGTTAGTCTAGATTCAATTGACTCATGATCTCAACTATTGAAATTTATGTTATCCCAGACACTTCCATATACCGCGTCAATCAGTCTAAGGAAACGCTCATTTGCAAAAAACACCTCATCTTCTAATGAACCATCGGAAATTCAACCTATACTATCAAGTAGAAACTTAATTCTACAGAGAAAATCGAATTGATTGCAAATATACGTCAAACAAAATTTCTTTCATCATTCATATGTGGAACAACTATCTTTTAAATAGAATAAAAGGAAACAATTGTATCCTTAAAGGAAAAATAAAGATAGCACCATGAAGAAAGTTTGCTTTTCAACTATACCATTTATTAAAAGAAGTACAATCATATTCATTGTGATTGAACTTATAAAGTGGTCTTCTGAAAAATAAAATGATTGCCTAACAGCTTGTCCACAAGTCCCAAATATTATGAATGATGAGTATCTAGTGGAGTTTAAATAGCTTGTAACTGACTATCTTATAAATACACATTCATTTGTTTCTTGTGGATAAAAAGAAGATTAAGTTTCTCTTCCTGTTCAATAGAATACAGTTGGGGAAATTTGTATACTAACTATTCCAAGTTGATTTCATGTATATTAATCTTTATAAACAACCATTTTTGGTTCCTTTGGAATAGGAAATGAAATTCTGTATTCACTTTTTGCTTCCTACTTTATTTATTTATTTATTTCAACACATAAATATTGGTACAAGGGGGCACCAAATATATATGCGCCACACCATATTTTTGTGTGTGTGGGCTGTGATACTGTCCGGGTGCCCAGACCGAAACCGGGGGTTTCTTAGGGGACCACACCCCGAGCCTTTAATCTAAAGGTCTGACCCACAAGGCAGTGGAGCATCGTTAGGAGATGCAGTCCCATGGTAGCCGGTGACCAACAATTGGTTCATATGCCATTTGTTCCCCCAGGATACTGGAGCCCATGTGAACCATTGATTTGGAGTCCGGTTAAAGCGCCGGACATTCACTTTTCGTCCTCTCATTTCGTAAACAACACCCCGCCACGAAAATGCAGTGAATAGGACTTCCTTGGCAGGGGCTGTATACGCGTAGCCTTGTGAGAGCATTTAGAGAGGGAGGGTGGGCCTAGCCCACTCTCGGCCATACCAGGGTATTTGGGGGCTGCTTCCTACCTAAACTTAATCGGATGATGTCACCTATTTGATTCATCCAGAATGAGACTGAGATTCAAATTATTATCACACATGATGAATGTATCACTCGTATATCTGTTGTATAAGTGGAAGTTATCAATTGTTGGTTGAAGCTTCGTATTCTCGAAATTGACCATGAAACAGTCAGTTAGGTTGACGTCCAGTAATAAATCCGTCTCAATTCCATTACTTTACTTGTAGAAATCATTATTGAATCTGGGTTTTACTTTGAAAGTACGACGTAGAAGTAGTTCTTTTAGATAATGTTTTGGAATATAAATATTAAGGTTATATTTCTCAATACAATCATTTAAGGAATGTATTATCTCATTTAGGGAAACATTTATAAAGAGTGAAGTGTTGTCATTTTCTTGCTGATCACATTGATGTTCATAATGAAGATCAACAAAATCAGGATGTTGTATCGATTGATGTGATTTCTAATCGGCCATAAATTTTAGTGGGCCATATAGTTGAAGAAAACAACACTAGAGATATTATTATCAATAAACAGATGAATATGCATCTATAAAATAATCATTGACAAGCTATTTACACTCCACTAGATGCTCATCATTCATAATACTTGGAAATTCGGTCAGTTGTAAATCCGTCTGAATTGCACTATTCATATTTCTATATTTGATAACTCCTAAATAAGTGACTACTGTATGATGTCTCTATTGAATGATCATATTCATATTACAGAAATAAATGTTGATGGTTGATTGCTGTTTATTTAGTTTAATTGGACCACTAGAATCAGTTTGAATATTGGAGTATTGTATTTAGTCCTAACACACGAGGCCAAAAAGTATTGATTGAATAGTTTGAAGGTAGCATGCTTTGAATATTAGTTCATGCATTTCCCTGTTGGTAATTGTATAATATCATGAGCCGACAAAAAATAGTGGCGATTGGAAGCTGAGTACATAAATTTCCGCTTGGTAACTCGGAGTTACATGACCTCATATATGTAAACTGAAATGTAACAAGTAAACATGAACTTGGGTATTGAGTACTGAAAGTCAGAAATAACCCGATTTCATGATGAATTACAATTACATTAGAAGTAATTCTAATAGTATCAGAGAAAGGTTTGGAACTAATGTTAATTATGATAACTGTTTGTTTCATTGAATTCTATAGATAAATAGATTGAAGGAATTTTGAGAGGTTTGTTCAATCCATACAATCTGGTTTGAATTCAGTTAACTACTGAATGTAAATTTGTCAGGTAAAGTTTAATGTTTGATACTTATTCATAAAACAATTATATATTTTTGTACTAGATTTAAAACTCAGTATTTATGAAGATTAACTATACTACTAATCTGTAACCAAGACTGAAGTAAAACGAATAACATTTGAACATAAGACTAACTAACTGAAAGTCAACTATAGAGGATAAACTCCAATCGTTCTACATTGAAAATTTCTTTCAATTGTGGAACAATTTAGAAATGATTTCAAGTCGGTTAATGATACAAGCGTGGAATAGATTGAAACAGTAATACAGCAAATTTATTGAGCCATAATAATTCGACAAAATGATACTAGTTGCAACTGAGTAACCGTTTATTCTTAGTCATATCTCAAATAGCTTAATGATAAGCTTCCATATATTATGACAGAGGTTGTTTTTGGATTCACAATCAGAAGTAGACAAATCATTTACTTCAAGATTATAAATATGTTTTACTGACGAATGGCAATGGGTACAAAATCGAGTTTCAGAGATTTTGGTCAATTCTCTTCTTTCTCTCATTTGCCTAAAAATCATACTAGTGATATGTTTCTGACAGTTATTCTTCTTACACTAAACTATTACACTTTAACATAATGAACATAGTTTCACATAATTAATATATTCCGTTAGTCTGTTTATCCGCATCTGCTGGGATCGCCGGGTAAGTAACAGTAAGATTAGACGCAAGGTTTTAGAAGGAAATGATGGTGAATCAGTTAATGAGCTTGTGAATCTACATCGACTCAAGAGGTTGGGCCACATGTTACCTATGCCTGAACACCGATTACAACGACGTGCAATGCTAACCGGTGTTGGAGATGGTTGGAAGAAAGTTAGGGGTGGCCAAACCAAAACGTGGCATCAGTGCTTGAAGTCACTAACTTCTAGTTTTAGTCATGTTGGTAGATGCAGATTACCTGGTTGGGGTCCGTGCGACTATTGTAATGAATGGTTGGAGATTGTGGGTGACATGGCTCACAATCGATCACAATGGCATGGGTGTATATACTCTGTCTTCCCTTACACTATGAGATTAAAATCGATTCATATCTTTCTTTCTGTATTATATCATTTTATGTAATCTTTCTTTTATATATTACCACCATTGAATTAACTACTTTAATGAATCCGGTGTCCATCTTGTTTTGTTAATGAGGTATGGCAACTTTGACCGATGCACATATGTGCTTGGTTCTACGTTGTAGCTGACTGAGTCTGTTTATCTACGAAAGATTTTTAGTCAAAATAAATAATATTATGACAGAGTTTATCAAAAAAGCCTATTGCATTATTTATAGGTTGTATTCATCACAAACTGATCTAAAGCTAAGATGATATTAAAAACTAGAAACAAATAAACAATTGTTTCGTCCTAGTATAAGATCTCACTTAGAACATTAAGGTCTCGAGGTGAACGCTTAATCATTAGAAACTCTAAGTTGCTGTTTAATGGTACAATTCTAAATTCAGCCAGTTTCTTTGTGATAGAAAGATACAATTTGAGCATCAATAGATATGAACTAAGTTGTCTATCAGATAGAAAACATATATTCTTCAAATGTATCAATATTACAAATGTTAATAATTTCAATAGTTTAGATCATGAGTCATTTGAAGCTAGACCACCATGGAATGCCTGGAAGTACTGGACAGCCTTTTGCGTTCAAGTGTGTTCCTATGTTCCTATGTCCCACAATAAAACGGAAAACAGTCGTCCAGTACTTCCGCGCTTTCCATGATGGACTAGCTTCAATTGATTCATGGTCTCAACTATTAAAATTACTATAACATCCAGGACAGCCCGTCCGATACTAATCAATATATGCTCACTAGTGACTGACTTCAAAAGGTATTTCCTGCAGTTCTAGTGAGAAGCAGTGACCAATCGAGTTCAATTGGGTTTGTTGTGAGATATCATCTCACTGATAACAATGGTGGATGTATCGCTCAATTTCGTGGATTACTTGAAGTTAGACATTAACACTGTTGGATGCTGGCCGGCTCAGTAGTCTAGTGGTTAATCGCTTACGTGCGAGACTAATATGTCTTGAGTTCGAATCTCTCTGAGGAATTCCACAATAGGACGAATCGACCGTCCAATATTTCCAGGCATTCCATGATGGTTTAGCATCAAATTACTCAATCTCAACTATTAAAATTTCTATAATATACACAAAAACCCTTCTCTGATATGAATCAAATGTTAATAATAACAAAAGACTAAAGAAGATGGTTGAAACTTACCTTGGAATTGACTTAGAACATGTACTATGTAAACTCAAAGTAATATTGTTAAAATGTATTATACTATGATAATAATGATGCTGCTGCTGCTGATGATGATGATGATGATGACGATGATGATGCTGATGATGATGTTGATAGGTATAAAAAAAACAATCAAAGGGATCAGTTACTGGTATAAGAAATAAATAAATAAATAACTTCACTATCTTCAAATGAGGTTACTTTTATTGACATTTATTAAATGAATTTCTCTTTTTTTTTCTTTTTTTTAACGAATCAAATTTCATTATAAAAAGTATTATGTAATAATTATCTTCATTAATTACATGGTTGTATTACATATATACATTCAGTTGACGAAATGTATTCCTATATACACAAACGCACATACATACACACACACACAAAGACATGCATAAACACACAAACATGGTCAATTGTGAGTAATTTTACGTACCCATGTACGTGCGTACAATTAAATAAAATCGAATCATTTTAGACGAACATGTTTTGATCATAAAATTACTGTTTCATGTAGCTCATTATTTCTATTGTCATGATGAATGTAACACTAGTTGATAGATAGATAGATAGATTTGTTGACCTTATTGAATAGAGAAGAGATTAGAAAGGTCAATTAGGTCATTCGTTGAATAGTGTATATGATTACATAATGATAAGTTTGTGTTTTGGTTGAATAATATAATTACAATGTACGATAGAATCACGAATATTTATAATTAAGTGAGTATATTTCTGTTCTGTTCAGTGTATACCGATGGTTATATACAAAAAAGATTTAACTAAAGAAGTCAATATGAATAGTTGAGCATTATGTAGTTACACTAATTATATATATATATATATATATATATATATATATATCATCAGAATGGTTTTTGTGGAGATTTTTAGAACTTTCACTGGTTGAAATCATGAGTCAGTTGACTAACTTCAGGAGATACTCCTGGAGTTCTAGTGAAAAGTCGTTACCAGTGGAGTTCAACCAAGTTTGCTGTTACATAGTAACTCACTGATGACAATGGTGGATGTAACGCTCTATTTCGTGGATTAGTTGAAGTTAGACATTGACACCGTTGGATGCAGGCCGGCTCAGTGTTCTAGTTGGTTAAGCGCCTGACACGAGACTGATAGGCCCTGGGTTCGAATCTCTTGGGGCGGGATGGTGGATGCGCACTGCTGAGGAGTTCCAGAATAGAACGAAACGGCCGTCCAGTGCTTCCAGGTTTCCCATGGTGGTCTAGATTCAATTGACTCATGATTTCAACCAGTATATATATATATATATATATATATATATATATATATATATATATATCAATTTGAGATTAAGTAGATCGTCGGTAACACGAGTTAAGATTACGTTAGAAAATGATTGGAGTTATAGGCATCAGGTTGAAGTCTTTGTATGAACAATAAAACGGGAATGCACGTTTACTACCGATTCCATTACTGGTCACAGTTCAAAGGAACGAATAGTTGGCTTTCACTTGTGAACAATAACTTGAAAGAATATTGTGTTATTTTGTAAAAAAAAAAACAGCTCGTTGAATTAAGTTACAATTGTTTGACACTTCAATGAAAATATCCGCTAGAGTTTTTTAATACTTCTGGAGGGGAGAGATTATCAAAGGAATTGATTGAGTTCAAAAGAATCATGTAATTCAAGAACTTCGATGAATTTTCCTAGGTGTATTGCTCTGTCTAATTGAGGTCATAAGAAATAATTTTCACAAAATGTAGGACAGATCAATCTCCTACTAACTAGTGACTGTCTTCAACGGTTATTTCTTGGAGTTCTAGTGAGAAGCAGTGACCAATCGAGTTCAATTGGGTTTGTTGTGAGATATCATCTCACTGATAACAATGGTGAATGTATCGCTCAATTTCGTGGATTAGTTGAAGTTAGACATTAACATCGTCGGATGCCAACCGACTCAGTGGTTTATAGGTGAAGCGTTGGTGTGCGAGACTTATAAATCTTGGGTTCGGATCTCCTGAGGCGGGATGGTGGATGCTCATTGCTGAGGAGATCTAGAATAGGATGAAAAGACTGTCCAATGCTTCCAGGCATTCCATGATGGTCTAGCTTTATTTGACTCACGAGTTAAATTATTAACTTAAACAATTCTTTATTTGTAGCAATACACTTGTCTTAACTTCGTTTTCAATGTTCACAACATTCCTGTATTAACCCAAATGTTAAGCTCTTCCTTTTTGTTCCTAAACTTCAGATATTTTGCTAGGATCATATGGACATAGGGTTTAAGTCGATCAGTAATCATCCAGACAATAACTCACTAACCAGGAAGTATAATAGAGTGTTTGTTTGATGTTTCCTAGACCTGAAACATACAGTCTTCATAGTGCATACCAAAACGCTTGGTTCACTTGGAAAGCGGTATATTCTTGAATATAATATCTCCATAAACAATTTTCAACATTTACTGAATTTACTGAGGTTTTTTATTTCACAATAACTTTCCACCAGAGTATTTGTATTCAGCGAGCAGATGACATGAATTACCCATACAACTAACTATTAACAGATAATGTTAATTATTTGGTATACACTGTTAAAAACAAAATGTTCTGGGAAAATCGCTATGAAATTCTGACCGAAGGATTCGTAGAGTTTCCCACTCATCTGGGAAAATTATCGGTATTCTTTGAGTTGATGACCTTAAACCTGCTAATGAAATAGATCATTGATACTGTTTCCAACTGCGGTACCACGTAAGACCTTCTGGAGGCTGTGGAGAAAAATAAAGTAAATTTTAGACATATAGAAACCTGCGAATCCCCAACAACCATCTAACATCTAACCAAAGTAAGCTTAGTTTAAACACTTACCCTCGAGGTTTCAGTATATCTGACAAAGCTCAAGCTTAGGTATCACTGAATTATGCAAGTTAGTACATAGAAAAATTTAGCTAAACGCAGTTATAAATTACAAGCCTGGAAGCACTGGACGGCCGCTTCGTTCTAGTATGGGACTCCTCATCACCGCTCATCCACGATCCCTCGAGTGAGACTCGAACCCAGGAGCTTCAATCTCGCGAACGCTTAACCTACATACCACTGGACCACGAACCAATCATGGTCTAATACTGATAAACTTATTATACCACTAAAAACTCAACAATCTCCACAACCACAAACTGAAGATTATCATGTGTTCATTGATGACTAGCTGTGAGAGGAAATTCTCGGAGTTCTAATGAGAAGTTGTGACCAGTGAAGTTGGACCATGTTGGGTGTGATCCAGTTACCCACTGAAGACAATGGAAGATGGTCGCGTAATATCATGGATATATATATCCTGGGAGGTGTTCTTGTCTAAGGTTACTTGTATATCTTTCGAGGGAATAACAGTAATCTGACTTCTTGTTTTATAAATTAAAAGTTACGGTCAGAAGATAGAAGGTTAGGTGATATTGAATACATCGAAAATACATTTCAGCACCAAAGTTAGAGTGAATACATAAAAACAAATGTTACTATTGTTGTATTTTGGTTTGGAGTGGAACATAGTTCACGCATTTTGTCCTATTTAAGAATCGTCGTGTTGATGTTCCCAGTGATACTCAGACCAGGTACTCGTCACTTCAAACTCAAACTTTTTACCAATTAGTTTACTGAGTCCAAAAGGTCATTTTATTGGATGTGATGCTTGTTTTTATTCATAACGCCTATGCGTTATCAACTTATCCGATCAGAATGTGCAAATGTCGAAAGAACATCAGCAATAGGATAATATTAGTCCTTATGAATAAATATAATTATTCTCTTTTAGTGAAGAGGTTTGATTATGGGTAAAATGAAACAAAGCTCTCTTGGAAATTTAGATATGGTTGACGCTTCTCGGTTGCTGAGATTTTGAAAGAATACTCTTTACTGAGGGAACTGAAACAGAAACGAGACTGGCATTGAACGTCCTACTGATCAGTTCGAAAAATTAACAACAAAACATGATAATCCAGATCATCACTTTCCGTAATAAAATATAGTATTTATTGGATTAAACCTAGATATTAAAGCGACCAACTTCAGTTACAATGGATGAATTTGTCTACTTACAAATGGTCATTAGTAATAAAGGTAACTACTAAGTCATGAAACTAAGTAGCCATTTTGTCAGCATTCATTTTTTAAACATAATCTTAATAGTCAGTGAAGGATTGTGAAGATTGTTGAAATTTATTGAAATTATGAAGTGATCAATGTTAGATCGCAACTGAAATCCTGAAAGCAACGGACATCCGTTTCGTCCTAGTATGGGACTCCCCAACAGTGCACATCCAAAATCCTACTGGTGGAAGTTAAATATCAACACCATTGAATCGCAGCTCAGCAGTCTGGAGGTTAAGTGTTCGCGAGAGATGGAATGCCCTGGGTTCTCTCCCACAGTAGGTTGTTGCTGATAATGTCTGATCAACGGATCCGAAGTGTTTTGCGTAAACAACTGTTAATAAACACTTTTATCTTGTGGGTGATGGCTTTCGTAGTTCTCCAAGCTTCCACCCCATACAGTAGAACTGTCTTGACATTTGTATTGAAAATTCTAACCTTGCTGTTGGTTGACAGACAGATGTTCTTCGGTTGTAGATATGGTGCTCTTGCTTTACCGATCCACGCCTTCACATCTGTATCGGACCCACCGTGTTCATTAATGATGCTGCCCAGATATGTAAAGGTTTTTACATCTTCTAAAAGTTCCCCTTCGAGTGTAACCTGATTAATGTATATTGTTTTGTATTGAAGAATCCTACTATTGCATTTGTGTATGTTGAGACCTACTGCTGCTTAGGTTTCTGCTCTACTGGTTCTCTTCTCTTGCATTTGTTATTGCGTGTGCGATAGAAGTGCTAGATCATTTGTAAAGTCCGGATCGTCCAACTGCATCCTAGCTGTCCACTGTACCCAAAATTTTATATGCAAAAAAAACTAATTCAATCTCTTTTTTTCTCACCATGATCGTAATCTATGGTTTTTCAGAGTTTTCAACCCTCCTCTCTTTTATATTCTGTCGATCTTTTACATTCAAATGATTGCATTCTGATTGCATCCTATTTCGATTTTGAAATTTTTCATTATCATGTTGCGTAACTAATTTTCACAATTATTAGTCTTTATCTAATTTCTGTGACATTCTTGATGTTTACTTAACATCATAACAACTATATTAACAGTCTTTTTTAACTTTATTCCACTGTTACATCGCTCAATGAATCAATATAATTACCAACAGAAATACTACAGTAAAGATCAGAAATTATTTGGTAATGTACATGCATACCATTGTATACTGGTTTAGTGATCTAAAGGTTATCCTCTCGCAACGAAGCCTGACGAGCCTGGGTTCGGTTCTGATTGAGGTTATGGGTGTGTACTGCTCAGAAGTCTTATACAAAGATAAAACAGTTATCCAGTGCTTCCTAATTCCGAATCATTGTCTAACTTAGTTTGGGTT